CGTATTTTTTACCAATTAGTTGTGAGTTATTGTTTCCCGCGCGTACCATGCAGTGCGTCACAGTTTTTTAGCATTAACTCCAGACTGGCAGGTCGAGTTTTGGTATGTAACCTCACTAAATATTTTATTCATGATTTGCCAGCGAACAGAAAATGTTGGGACGGTATTTAATCGCATGCGTAGAAACGTATTGGAAGGGGTTTTAACGTAGCACGCGCGTGCGAAAGAGGCTTGCTTGCGAGATCAATAGCAGCCATTGCGGTTATGGTAACACGATCAGCTGATCGGTTGATGCTTATTTTGTTTACAAGTACCACACTATGATCGTATACTGAGAAACCTGTTGGGTCTTTCAGATCTTATGAGCCTAACTTTAGTTTCTTTTTTATGCTACTGTACACGAATAAATATATAAATTCGCGTTATTTTTAAAAGGATATTTTGTATTCCTTGTTCAAAAATAACTTCTAATGTGAAAATTACTGTAGTCACGTCAAATGATTTTTCTTTTCTTCTTTAAGTGAATTTTATCGCATTTACAATTTAGACAGAATGGTTTCAATACTCGGAATAAATAGTCACGTTACTGTGGTGATTACTTCATGACATGTAGCGGCTTCTTGTGAAGTTTAAACGCCGTTATATTTGTGTCGTGAGTTCAATATGATTAGAGGAAAAAATAATTAAGGAAATTTATCCATCGATGTATATACATGTTCATAATTTAAATACATATATATATACTTAATGTAATGTGAAAAAAATTGGCTGTTTATACTGGATACGAAATTTTTTGATTTTATTACTTTGATATTACGCAACCTGTATTACCGACTAGGTAGATAGGTTATTTGTATAGTGCACATGTTGACGTGATTTTTTAAAAATATTTAAATCTGATTACATACAGAATGTTAAAAAATGTTTAGTTTTAAATATTTTATTGCTTCATTAATTTTTCACATCAATGTTTTGTGAAGATTTACTATGAAATATTAATCCACTTGTTTACGAAATGAAGCGTGAGGTATGATTGTACTTACCTACCTATCGTATACCTATACCTATCGTATTTTAGAATTACATGTATCGAAATATTATTACGATATATTATCTTGATAACTTATCAAGTTATTTCAATATGATTACGATTTTCTCGAAGATTGAAGTTTTGATACTGAATTTATTAAAGATACAAACCTCCTGTCAAGAAGGTTGAATCTCTCTGCATAAATTTTGTTTGAATTGCAAAAATAATTTTTATCACATAGAGATAATAAAAATAACCTTTGATTGTTAAAACTAATAGAATAACGTAAATTTATTTCGATTACAATACTTTTCTACTTTATAAGACGAAAAATAAAAATTACGGCGTCATTGAAGCACGATTACCATACGTTCTTAAGATACTTTAATGTCGACGACCCGTCGATTAGTCAATACATATTTGTATTTATTTTCTATTCGTTCACGGTTAAATAGAGCATTGAATTGCGACTTTCAATCCGAGCAAACCAGTCTGAACATTGCAAACAGCCGCGCGGCGCTTTACAAATTCAACGGTGTGCCCGTTGTGTATGACGAATAAATTTTCTTTGAAGGAGAAAGAATTGCGATATGACAACACGCCTCGGACGATACGAAGGTCCGCAATGCAGGCTTCTTGAGGGATCTTCATGTTCTGTCCGACGGGGAAGAGTCTTTTAAAGGTTTCTAACCATTCTCACGGCGCGACCTAATTATGCGCCAATGTTTCTCGGCGTACGTCATCGGAAACAGAAGTTCAAAGTGCTTTGAAACAAGATTTTGTTGTTAAATAAGTAGAGTTCGAAACCGTTTGTTACCGTGTCCCGTGAACATTTTAAACCTGCGAACAATTCATCATATGCAGTTCTCATGATCGTTTTGTTAGGCGACGCCATGAACTTATACAAATTCTATCCATCTAAATATTTGTTAATATTTTTCAGGATTTATTTATAAAAAAAAAACTATAAAATAATTTGCTGTACGAGTTTCAAATTATATTTATACTTTTCTCGGCAATAAGGATGATTTTGGATTTCCTATTTATTTAAATTGGAAATGGATAACATGTTTTTAGTTTAAGAATTAACAAACCTTATTACACTTGTGGAAATTTGGGGATTCAAATAAGCAAAACTCGACTTCTTCTCAGCAACACACATTTAATAAGCACGCGGCTTCGTTACAGACAAAAGACGCATGGTACAATAGTACATAGTAAGTCAGATGCACCACTAGGTGGCGCAGAAACAAATGGCACTTTATTTCTAACATCTCTGATATTTTAATTTCAATGTTAAACACGTAGAGTAACAAAAATATTCGTACGGTTATTCTTGAATTAATTATTGTTAGGTTAGTTTTGAATTAATTATAATTAGGTTATTCTTGAATTATTCTAGGTTAGGTTTTTTTTTTAATTAATTATTATTAGGTTATTCTTGAATTATTCTAGGTTAGATTTTTTTTTGAATTAATTATTATTAGGTTATTCTTTAATTATTCTAGGTTAGGTTATTCTTGAATTAATTATTATAATTTCATTGTTTCAGTGCTTTGTACAAAATTATTTCGTAATAAATTTGTACATTTGGTTTTACTATTTACAGAGATGACTGACGGACGTTTCCGCAGACGAAAATAAAAACGTCTTTCATTTAAATGAACGTGTCATAGTGTAAATGGAATGCAGAACTTCACGTGGAAAACTTCGATCTATTGTTAAACACGGCGAAGGAAGTTGTCCTTGTTTTCTTATGCATACAAACACTTTGATATTTAAAAATTAAATATTTTTGGCACAGGAATAGGGCCATTGCCGAAGTTTCCATTTACAAGAATATTTTTCAATCATCGTATATGGTGCAAAGTAATTTTCAATGCGAGGAACAATTATATTTAGAATTTCAAACGTCGATTCAAAATATTATTTCATTAAAGATGATTTTGGATTTTCTATTTATCTAAATTGAAAATAGATAACATGTTTTTAGTTTAAAAATTGACAAATCTTATTACTTTTACTATCTGCTACTCGCATTAACGGGTAAGACCACTGTAAAAACCTGAAATAAAGCGTTTATTTGCGTGAATGGATGGAAAAGTAAGAGGATAATAATATTCAAGAATGTTATTAACCATGTCGTTAAGTGTTAAAAAAAAATATTTATTCAAAAATATCCTCTTACTTTTCCATCCATCCTAAAAAAAAAAAATCGCAAAGAAACGCTTTATTTCAGGCTTTTACAGTGGTCTTACCCCTTAATTAACACTTTGACTGCACGCCACCCTGTATATGAGTGACAGGATTTATCATTATGATGCTAGAAAAATTAATTCTCAAGTTAAGACGTTGGGGAAAATAGATTTGGATAGAATTTGTGAATTTGAACAAGATTACGAAAGTAAGTACCGAAACAAATTTTAGGTTATGTAGCTTACAATGGTCTAAAAATCAAACCATTTCACTTTTGCAAAATATTACACGGTCTCGATCTGGCAGTGAACGTGTTAAGTAAATGTAATTTTTTCTTATAAAACGACGCGTCATTGGTTTCTGTTGTTTTTATAAACAGAATCGACGAATTTTCAACGGTTTGTAAACATTGCGATCGCACCTTTGCGCGACTGGATATATCCCCTCACGCGGCGCCCAAAGCGCTATTGTATATAAAGGGAACACGCGGTTAACAGCAGAGGCGAAGAACTCCGTATCTTGGAGGTAACAGTCGTATGCATTGCCGAGAGAGCATTGCCAGCTATCAGTATTAGTTCGACCGTCCTCGTGCGCGGACCCGAGGCGTTCCACGTTACGCTGGTACGACGATTTCATTAGAGAAAAACGAACCTTCGTGTTTACACGCGTGCCCTCCATTCGTCGCGTCTCCGTGCATTCGTGCGAGTCGAGACAGCGTCGGGAGGTGAATCGAGCGTGGAGAAAAACGCTTCAACGAAAATAATTCGCATACGAGATCGTTCGAAGCTTATAAAATATTACGAGCCTCGTTACGTGCCGCAAGGAACATTCGACGAATCGAATATCGAAGAATGGATCGATAAAGAATGAGAAAAAGACTGCGTGTTTTCGTCGCGATTTTTTGTCGTGTCTTTGAAGGTTGGTCGGGGAGAAGATTTTGTTGTTCAGTGATCATTAATATTACGTAAAGGTAACCGTGTGGGCTATGCAACGAAGGCGACGCGAAGATAAATAAACGAATGAAATTAGTTTCGCTTGTCGTAACTCTTCCGGGCGCAGCTGCCGTGATCCGTTCGAACTAAGTCATTCACGAAGTCGTAGCCGGTGACAGATTTTGTTTTTTTCATTCTTTGTCAGCCAGCGGATCGTCGAGCGCGTGGTGTTTCTTTTTCTTTTTGTTTTTTTTTGTTTGCTCTCTCGTCGATAACGATCGGGGAAATATACAAAACGTTTTTATTCGTTAGATAATTGGTAACGGACGAAAATCGATTGTGTGCATGCGATCACGAAGAGACAGAAGACACGGGGAAGACTAGTTTACAATTTCGGAAATCTTATCTCGACTCTATTTTCGCAATAACGAACGGACAAGTAATCGTATAATCGAGGATCAGTGGCATCGTGCGATTTCTGAAGTTCCGTAAAATGTGTCGTTTCCTTGCGTCTATGTTGGCGACGAGATTTCGCAGGACGTCGAAAAGTCGTTCTACAGGACTCGATTTTAAATAAGAACGAACAATCGATCTCGTATACCCGTGAAGTTGATCGATCAGTTCGATACAGAAGGAATGCGAAGTTGTCCGGAAGTAAAGAAATCGATTCGAAGGACTCCGTTTCACGTTTCAAAACAATCGAGAGCGAGAACAGTTACTGGAAAGTCGCGAGCAAGTCGTGTGATTTAGTAACGGTTCCCATCTTGGAAAATCTGAATTTGTCGATCTCGTGCGTTTCCGTAGAAAAAAAAAAAAAAAAAAAGAAGTGTACGTGACGATTTTATAAGAAGCGTTTTAACGTCGATTGGAAAATTTACAAAAAGCTGGTAATCTCGTGTGGTTTCAATGTCGTGAAATTTATCGCGGAAGGATTACTTCGGTTTTATCATCTACGCGAAACTAAACATTGACATTGTGAATATCGAACGTGATGCATTGTGAGAAGTGAATGTTTTAGCATGTGAAGAGATTTTGATGTTTTCGTGAACCTTTCGGTTGTCGTGCCTTTCTCGGAATTGGAGGAACAGGTGCCAACGCGCGTCATGGTACGTTTCCTTCTTTATTTTCTAATCTATGTTCAGTGTCATTATCATTGTTCTAAATATGCGATACGATTTCATCGAGTGACACAAATTTAACTGTATTAACGAAATTGAGGACTAATTGTTAACGCGTAAGGTGGTTAATTTGGAAACGATACTGCGATGACATCTTTGTTACATTTTTGGTACTTTTGTATCTTATATTTGAATCTTGCAACAGTTACTGATTTACGTAAGACACGATGCCCGGGCAAGGTAAGCGTTTCAAACCTGGAAATTCGACGACTGTATTCATTTTGTAAATTCAACTTTAATACAAATTTAATGGAACGATTCAAGTCAGGAAATATTATACAGGGTGTTCGGCCACCCCTGGGAATAATTTTAACGAGGGATTCTAGAGATCAAAATAAGACGAAAATCAAGAATACTAATTTGTTGATGGAGGCTTCGTTAAAAAGTTATTAACGTTTAACGTTCCGCTCGTACTGAATTTTTTTCTCGAAAATGCGCAAGATTTCGCAGGTATGTCTATTCACCAAAAATGATTGCAATTGAACCCCGCAACCGAAAATAATTTTTCCAAAACGATTTGAAATTTTTTTTTCCGTCGAAAAATTTCACACCTCGAATTTTTTTCTAGAAAGTGAGTAGGATTTCGGGGGTATGTCTATTCACCAAAAATGGTTATAATTCACCCCCACAACTGAAAATAATTTTTCCAGAACGATTTGAAATTTTTTTTTCCGTCGAAAAATTTCACACCTCGAATTTTTTTCTAGAAAGTGAGTAGGATTTCGGGGGTATGTCTATTCACCAAAAATGATTATAGTTGACCCACGCAACCGAAAATAATTTTTCCAGAACGATTTGAAATTCTTGAATATAATTGTTAATAACTTTTTAACGAAGCCTTCATCAACAAATTGGTATTCTTGATTTTCGTTTTATTTTGGTAGAATCTCTAGAATCTTCCATTAAAATTTTTCCCAGGGGTGGCCGAACACCCTGTGTAGAATATTATTAAAATTGTAACAGAACACCATTATGGAGTATGTGGTATTGTAATGGTAAAAATAAATCACTTTACGCGTTGTAAATACGAAGAATTTATCGTGCATACGTTTGGCCCCGATGCAATTGTAATAATAAGTCTAAACGCATGATCTTTTAGATAAGAAAATCAAACAGTTTAGACGACTTATACAAGAATATTTCGCGCAACAAACATTTTCGATCCCGAAATTTGACCTTCGATATAATTGTAATGAAATCAGGGAAGTAAGGCCACCCCTGGGAAAAATTTTGTCAGTTACACACATTCTAGAAAAAAATTCGAGAAGGTGTGAAAGTTTTCGGCGGGAAAAAAATATTTTGTATCGTTCTGGAAAAATTATTGTCGGTTGCGAGGGTCAATTGCAATCATTTTTGGTGAATAGACATACCCCCGAAATCCTGCGCATTTTCGAGAAAAAAATTCAGTACTGGCGGAAGTTTAAACGTTAATAAGTTTTTAACGAAGCCTTCATCAACAAATTGGTATTCTTAATTTTCGTCTTATTTTGGCGTCTAGAATCCCCCATTAAAATTTTTCGCAGAGGTGGCCGAGCATCCTGTATACATATACGTATAATAATAGGAAGAATTTCGCATCTGGAGCGAATCAATCGTCAATAAGAAAGTTAATATTTACTGCACGGATTTTTATTAAAGGTTTAATTCGTCTAGATTGAGTAGCTTATACGTATAATACATATTTTACCACGCAAGTGTATAATCTAACTGTTTTGGGCAATTGCACAACGATTGTCCGCTTTCTTTTAATTCCGCGCATTGTACACACGCTGTTGATACTCTCTCTGAATTGATAAGCACGTGGTGCCACGAGTTCGTTCTCCTTGCGTGTTGATAACGAAGGTTCATAGTTTCCTGGTCAATCGTTAGTCATTTCTTTGATGAATGCTGAACTGTCATATGGCATAACCACGTGGTTCACTTCACGTCTTCCTGGAACGCGATTCTGAATCATTGAATTTTCTAAATGTTTCTATTGAACTGAACGACATGTTCAGCTGACTAAATCACGAGGCGGGAACGATTACCAGCTATTATAATAGGGACTGATTCTTATGAAGCAGGCATATCAGACTCATCTTGTTACATAATCTTGTTACATCAACATAGAGTATGTTCATTGATATAATAAATAAATAATAATTAATTATCGATTTTAAATAATATTTTTATCGAATGAATATTAATTCGAGCCTATTAAGTCTAAGTAGAACAAGGTCAAGTCGAGTTTAACGACCCGTCGTATGAAGCCATTTGAGGTCAAATACATACATAATAAGATGATCTTGAAAACGTGTCTTGCGAAGAGTTGAAGGTTAAAACTTTGAATAGGTTATGAACAGTGTTTTTACAAGACGTACTTTTTAGATTATTATAGTTTTAAATGTTACTGTTATCATATTGGATAAAAATATATGTGAAATATTCTACTTAAAAATCGATAGAGATGAATACATGATTACAAAGGTTACAATATTTTTCGACACATTATTCGAACTTTAACTTAAGATAGTAATTATTACAATACAACAATATTTCCATAAATACATTAATCGAAATAGAGAAGATAAAATCTCTATCTAATTTTCAATGTAAAATTTAATTCTCTCTAGGGTTTATACAAAATGTTCTTCAGATTTTTTTTACAAATAATGAATGCATATCAGGAAAACCAGAAGGTTACAAAAGCTAACCATCATTCTGTACGGATCGATTTTTTTCGAAATCTAATCAAACCTTCAGATGTATAAAACTTAAATGAAATGTTTCGTTGAGATCCATTCAGCCGTTTAGATGCAATCTTACACACATTAGAAAAAGATTTTTTTTGTATAGTTAAAGAATGATCAAGAAGTCTTGAAACGTGTTCTGTAGAATGAGAAATTTCTTCAAAACTCGTACAGATTTAAAAAGCCAAAATTTAACTTGACATCTCATTATAGTATTCATATTAACAATGTTTCCATATATCCTCAAACTTTGGTGATAATTACATCGACCATTTCTTGAGAATAGAAATAAAATATTTTTAATCATTTAATTGCATTCTTTAGAACAAATGTATTAATAATACTGGAGAACGACTTAATGTAGAGTAATTTTTTTATGTTAGCGGAAGTAGTAGTTTCGACAAATATTTTTTAATCTTCACGCGAATCCAATCCTCCACGACCCGCTCAGACTAAAACGTTTCTTTGCGATAAAGGAACGAATGTGCCTTTTGTGTTACAGTCACTCAGACTACGTGTATTAATGTATCTTTTTTACCCTATAAAGGGAAACGCTTGAAAGTCTCGTAAACGTTTGTCACGTCTTGCAGACACTTTTTAGTTCTACTGTTAACACGAATACTATACTATACAAACACTATACTATGTAGCTGATGTTCAATCATTCGAAGGTTCTATTATAAAAACGGAGCATATCTTTAAAACATTTTTTTACAACGGTTTGAATTAATTTTAATTCCAACAATTTAATGTGAATCTAACAACGCTCACAATGTATGGGGCAGATTATAGAAACGGAAAAATGTTAAAGGTGTGGGATTATTTGCTCCAGATCAAACTGTATCATAAATGATCATAGATTTAAGATGATTTTAAAATCAATTAGATTAACAATTTTGTTTGTTAGAGACAGATGAGTCTTGGCACTCCATTGTTGTGTGGCTAAATTCAGTAGAATGAGTTTCGAAATTTTGCAATGTAAGTCGGGGAGAAAAAGTGAAGCTCGATAAAAAGTATACAATGTAAGGATGTCGTCAGGGGGTGGTTACAGGGGTGTGGTCAGATTCGATGATTCGAACACTATAAACGTAACTATACAGGGCGTTCGGCCACCCCTGGGAAAAATTTTAATGGGAGATTCTAGAGGCCAAAATAAGACGAAATTCAAGAATACCAATTTGTTGATGAAGGCTTCGTTAAAAACTTATTAACGTTTAAAGTTCCGCCAGTACTGAATTTTTTTCTCGAAAATGCGCAAGATCTCGGGGGTATGTCTATTCACCAAAAATGATTGCAATTGAACCCCGCAACCGAAAATAATTTTTCCAAAACGATTTGAAATTTTTTTTTCCGGTCGAAAAATTTCAGTCTCGAATTTTTTTCTAGAAAGTGGGTAGGATTTCGGGGGTATGTCTATTCACCAAAAATGGTTATAATTGACCCCCGCAATCGAAAATAATTTTTCCAGAACGATTTGAAATTTTTTTTTCCGGTCGAAAAATTTCAGTCTCGAATTTTTTTCTAGAAAGTGGGTAGGATTTCGGGGGTATGTCTATTCACCAAAAATGGTTATAATTGACCCCCACAACTGAAAATAATTTTTCCAGAACGATTTGAAATTTTTTTTTCCCGTCGAAAAATTTCACAGTCTCGAATTTTTTTCTAGAAAGTGGGTAGGATTTCGGGGGTATGTCTATTCACCAAAAATTGTTATAATTGACCCCCACAACTGAAAATAATTTTTCCAGAACGATTGGAAATTTTTCAACGAAACCTCCATCAACAAATTGGTATTCTTGATTTTCGTCTTATTTTGTCCTCTAGAATCCTCCATTAAAATTTTTCCTCGGGGAACACTCTGTATAATTGAGAGACTGCTTCTTTGAAACACTGCTTGGTAATTGACAATGAGATGTACATCAACAATGATGACAACACAGCGTGAATGTGCTTGTTTACAAAATGTGTTTGTTCATTTCATTTTTCATAGTTCATGCATAGTAAGTAATAACTGTTCATGTAATTGACACGACGCTCAGTGGTAGCTTAGATAATAAAAGTCCAGAAGAAGTGCATTAAATTGAGCATCGAGAAAAATGTTGTTGTGACAAACGGAGCTCTATTGTAATCGTTTGCGCGTACAATAATCAATAGAAAGTTTCATGATGATCGCTTTTAATAGTATGTAAATTGATAAGC